ACCCACCATGTGTGATTATTTATGGACATTCTGGTATCTTTGAAAGTGATGGCATCTTTGGAGGATTCAGCTGTGGGATAAAGGGCAACCTTGAGTAACAAAGGCATCTCCAGCAACATTTGCAAAGCGATTGGTAGCTTCCCCTGCTCTGCATGTAGCACAGCACATTGATCCATAAGCGCTGGACTGTTATGGCATCACATTTGATACATTATTTTGAAGTTTGCTTACTTACCCTTAACTAATGTATTTTGCATTAGATCGAAACATTAGATCAAAATCTGTTACTTCCCTTGATCAAATAGCATTTGTATAAAACTGAATGTGGTGAATCTTCACATCTGTATAGGGAGAAGAGAATGCATCTCCCTTAGGTACCAATTAAGCCTTTTTATTGTCTCTGCCATATATTACATATTTACGGTTCGTATTTTAATATGCTGTTTATTTGAAACTATCAGAGTGGTATGCAAAAGATGAAATAAACACAAAAATAAAATATAATCATGGGAGTGATTAAAGATGAGGATATTTTCTTTTAATCTAATACAGATAATCTTAGTTAATATGAGATATATTTTCAATAACTGTTCTTTCCTCCTCCATCCTTTTGGATCAGTTTCTTCAGGTGTGAAATATTCCAGTACTGGAAAAAAGTTTTATACATCAGGAACCAGGTTAGCTGGAAAAGCCCATGAAAAATTCATGTGAGCTGATGGTAAAAGAGTGACAATAGATTCTTAAAGGCAAGTATTTTTTCCCAGTGGGTATTGTGTCCTCTCATTTCAGTTATTAAGGGGATATAATAAATGACTCTGTGCTTCTGAGAAGAATACTCTCAATCACAGAAATCCATTGGGTGAGTTTGAATTAGTCACTCTCTCTCAGCCCAACCTATCCCACAGGGTTCTTGTGGGGAAAAATAGGAGGCGGAATTGCTACATATGGTGCCTTGAACTCCTGAATGAAAAATGGGACAGAAATCCAATAAACAAACAAACAAATCCCTCTAATATGTCTTCAGCAGGAATCATATCATTTGAAATAATATTTACAATCTATCGCTATGTTAACAGCATAATTCAAGAAGCGCTACTCATCACCAAAGAGTGATGGTATGTTTGTGCGTATGTTTGTGAGAATACAGATGTCCTCAGGGAGATTTTGTTTTAGAGTCTCCAGATGTAGAGACTCCAGTCTCCTAGAATTCCCAACAAGTATGATCCTCTGGTCCAGTTCATCTGGAAGGTATCAGATTGGGTAAGGCAGGATAATACATCTAGATACAGTATATAAATGGAACCTGAAACATATTGTAATGGGGAATGGTGTTATTCAGCATTACAGCAGCCAGCTAGCTATGTCTACTCCTCCCTTACCCAGTGGACTGTTGTTCCTATAGACTTCTTTACTGCATTATGACCAGACTGCGTAGAAACTGAAATAATAACTAATTACTAGAAAAAATTTGACTGTGGCACCAGGCTAGAAACGAGGAGACTCTGAGTTCTAGTCCTGCCTTAGGCATGAAAGCCTGCTGGGTGAATTTGGGCCAGTCATTCTCTCTCAGCCCAACTCACCTCACAGGGTGGTTGTGGTGGGGAAAATTAAATATTAAATATGCTTGCCGCCTTGAATTATTTATAAAAAATAATAAAGGTGAGATAAAATATCTAAAAAAGTGGGGGGGGCTGCCTGAGCCAGAGTCATACAATCTCCTGTCCTAATACTCTTAATGATAGAGGGTTCAAAATAGTTGCTGCCTAGCTTTTCTAATTTTTTCAAAGTTGTAATTGATTCTAGAGAAGGAAATTGATGTTACTGTATTCTATCTGATCATAAGAAAGAGCAAATTGTACTACGATCAATGGAGCTTTTTCTAAGCATAAAAAGTCTTAAGTCTGAAATCTTTAGGAAAATTAGTAAATTACTAACCACTACAAGGCCACTACAATCTTTACCTAAAGACAGTGTTTATATCAAGCTTTGCCAGCATACTTTCATCCACATTATGAATAAGTTTTAATTTCTGCTGTTAATTTATCCAGGATCAAGTAAATGGGCTAAAATGAGAAGGAACATAGTTTCCTTGTGTCAGGGAGAGTCAAATTTGACCCAAAGTGTTTGTGAATGTTCTTGCCGTATTCTGGAGCCTGCATTGCTATATCTCAAACTTTTTCTTTTAATATATCTAAGTGTTCTTATATAGAAGTTTTCTTACACAGAAAATGCAATGCCTAGTGAATTATTTGCAAGTATTTTTCATAGCAGGTATGTCTGAAATGAAGGAATTTCTAAATGACCTTGCCCCCTTACTCTTCTTTCCTTCTCTTTCTGTAATTCTGTAATTTTAAAATGATTTGCTTGTTTTTTGAGTTTATTGGCCATCCCAAAGAATAGATGTCAGGTTTTTTTTCTGGGTGATGTAAAAGTTTGAGGGGACATTTCTCTTTATGGTATGATCCTATGATTAATGAACAGGAATAATATTTTAAGGTATCTAAGTAGATATATGGGGACATTTTTTAATGTTAAAGAAGTTAATGTTACATTCTGTTCCAAAACTTTGGAATCTGACTATTTTTGAGGAGTTATGGTTATATTGGACTTGGGATGTTGGTAAGAGAATTATTTTCTGAAATAATTCTGAAATAAAAGTATGCTGGCTGCGGAATTCTGGGAGTTGAAGTCCACACATCTCAAAGTTGCCAACGCTGTTCTCGAAGAAGGCCATGGCAAACCGTTTTTGTGTTCCTGCCCAAGCCTTTTTTTTTTTTTTATCCGTTCAATCGTCTCCGGACCTTTACCTTCATCTAAAATATCCCAGAGGCTGGCCTCTCGGGACGCAAAGGCCACAGAGACCCTGAAAACACGCAACCCTCGAGGAAGAACTTCGTCCGCAACCGGAGCTCTGCCCTTGGAGGCGGACTGGAGGAGAGCCAGCTGCTTCGCAAGCCCGAGGGAAAGAAGCCATGGTAACCACCAGCCAATCCCAAAACTCCTCACGATCACATGGTTCTTTCAGCGGCAAGAGGGTTCGTTCTTTTCTTTTTGACCTTTCACCCCAAGATGGCGGCCCCCGTCGGTCCGTTGAAGTTTTGGAAACCAGGTGAGGATTGAATATTTTTTAAGGGACGGGAATATAAATACCATGGGAAGAAGTGAGAGGGTGATGTCTGTTTTTCTTTATTCTTGGAGGAAACGGGTTTCATTTTGCGAAAGGATAAGGGCGGGATACGCGATAGGGAATGTAACGTTGCTCTCTTTTGGAGGACGGACGCGCGACTCTCCTGTGATTCATTAAGTAAGTAAAAAAAGAATAGGTGGCCGGACACAAATTAACAAGGATCAAAGAAAAGTTATTCTGCACCTGCTAAAATGCGTCTTTATATTTCACCTTTGAACGTGTCGTTCATTTGAATTGGAGGCTTGCGAATTCTGGATTAAGAAAATTGTGCTTTCTCTTATCGGCGATCCTCCTGCTCCTGTTTTTTTTAAATGCCGTGTAATGCTATGGAGTGGAGCTGTCTCGTTCAGGTAGGGTTGAATAATAATGTAATTAATGCAGCCGATTGAGATTAAGCTGCTGGATGATGATGATGATAATAATAAATAATAAAAAAATCCTACAAGATTCCAATCTTAAATTTGCTAAGTGAAGACTCTTTTTAGGTCAATGGGGTTTATCACTGAATATATGACCAGTCTAATTCTACTTGTAGAATATTGAAAAGTATACACCCACAAGTACACACTTCTGCTCTTGCTTCAGTGAACCCCCTTAGAAGCAAGCCACACAGGAATTTAAATTAAAATATATTGAGAGAGCTGCACTAGTCTCTTCTATCAGTAGATAAATGAAAAAAAAAAAAGGAATGCACCTATTTTGATAGGCGAAGATTACTAGCTAGCACAGTGGCAAAACATCTGCTTTTGTTGTATATATAGCAGTAATAACTTGAAATGTTTTTAGATAGCTGTGATCTGAATGGAAAAGACACGATTTTAAATGAGGGGCATTGTGGAACTGTGAGGGGAAGCTTGCACTCCACTAAAAAGTAGTAAGGTAAAAATCAGTAGTGGAATTAGATGCTGTGCTTGCTAGCTCATTATGTGTAAATGCGATGTCAGTCAAGTGCTGAGATAGCAGTTAGGTTCTTCTGCAGCGCTAAGCAATTTACATGGTAGCTCTTATCTATTTGCATTTTGTTCTTGAGGTTATTGTTCTGGCATGAAGGATAATTAGCGTACAGTTTTCCAATGCTGAAATTTAATTTTCTAGAGCCATTAATATTTATTTAAATTAAATTACTGCTCATTTTTAGACATAGAGCTAGCCTCCTTAACAGCTCAAGAACAGTATTTGCAGCTGTAGTTTCCCTTATTATGTATTTATTTGTGCATGTATGCAGATCATTGCTGGTATTTGTTTGCAGGTTACAAAATAGTATGTGCAGTTTGGAGAGCTTTGCCTGTACTTTAATGCAACAAAAATCTACATCATAGCTTTTAATATTCTGTATATATTTACCTGTGTTGAACTATTCTTGGAGCCACATTTCTAATCCAACTTTATAATTCCATTGTGCTCAATGGAACACATTGCTTAATAGTCATTCGTACATTTGGATTGTAAGGAAGACTGTAGAGCTTGATCATGCCATAGATTTTATTCTTTCAGTACTCTTCACTGATTTGTTAGTATGTTGGCAAATTCTTCCTGATGTTATTAATGAATCTTTGTTATATCAGTGAAAAAGTAAAGTTGCCCTTGAACTGATCTTGATTTCTAATGAGAACATAGACACAGCCTTGTAATTCATTGTGGTTCTTCTGTATGCAGTAGTATTTGCATTCTTTTTTTATAATGGTTTTGAATAGATCATGTAATATAATAAATTTTCTTCTAGAAAAAAACTGTAACAATTGATACTTCTATATAAGCATACATTGTTATATAACCTAGTTTATCCTTGCATGTCCATTCACCCATTTTATCCCTGTGCCCTTTTAAGTTATTGAAGGGCAGAGAAAAAACCCCTGATAACTGCCAATTTGTAATGTGATCTTTGAAGCTAAATATGGGTTTTTTTTCAGTAATTCTATGAATATTTACGTGTGAGAAAGTTCTATTTAATTTAATAAATATAGTTATTAATATAGTTAATGTGTGAGAAAGTTCTATTTAATTTAATAAATATAGTTAAATTAATAAATATAGTTATTAAAATATTGTATGTCAAATGTGTCACTATTAAATACAATTAGTGGTCAATATTGATGGGAGGTGCTACTTAGTATGAATATGATATTTATATGTACCTTATTCTTAGTATGTAAGTAGTAGATTATACACACAAAATCAAAACTTAGAAATAGGCTACAAATTTTTGAAAGACTAAAAAAATAAACACAGTTTTAAATGAAAGTTTATGGAGAGAATACTCATGACTACCATGGCTCCCTTTCCCTCCTCAACTGTTCTTACAGTGAGGTTCATCCCAGTTCGTTCGTTTACTTAGTCAAGACTACAAACCCAATACTCAATCTCCAAAATAGTTTATTTGTAAAGGTCTGCAGAGCCAGGTCACTCACACAGAGAATATCTTAGGAACCCTCCCAATGTGAAAGACCCCCTCCCACTCCCAAATGCAGTCTATATCTACTTTACAGGAACAAAAAGACTCATATTACAAACAGATTATTGTTTACAAGGTAGGTGTCAAGCACTCCATACTTGGATACAGATGAAGTCATAGTAAGATAAATTTATAAATAAATTAAATAAATTCCATAGGGTTTGTATATTTTCAAACCTATTTTTTAAAATTTGTGATAATGTTTTTATTAATAATTTTTAATCTTTTTATATGCCTGTTTTTATTTACTTGTTATTTTAATTGCTGTATGCCACCCAGAGATGTTGTGTGTGAGATAGGCAGCTATATAAATATGATAAATAAATAAATAAATGATAAGCACTAAGCAGTTTCTTTACTGTGCTATATGCTAGGCTGTGCCAAGTGCAAAAACCTCTCTATTTTTCTCTGGTCATAATATCAACACATATTTTCTATGTGGTGTGTACTTGTGAGAAAGAAAGAAAGAAATATATAATATCCTTTTTACTTAATATCTTTCAAATATTTTAATTTGTTCTTAACTGTTCATTTAATATTTTATGATGTAGAGAATAAGTATTTAGCAGACAATTTTACTGATTTGATGATTTCTGCAATTCTGTATATAATCTTTTTGTTTTCTTCTTGTTTTCCCTTTTGTTTAATTAAAGGCCCAAAATTCATTATTTAATGCATTTTTGTATTGTTTCCTACACAAAATATCACAAAGTCGTTTTAAAATTACAAAATACGCAATAGAAAGAATTAGACACAAGATTAAAATACTTAAAAGGTATTCAGTAAAAAGGAAGACATTATATGTATTCCTAAAATACATTTTACAGAGCAGATATATGTTGATCCTATGGTTACGTTCACCTAAAATTGTACTTGTTCCAGTGTAAAATTACAGATACAAAACAGAGAATCACATGATCTTGAGTCTGTGGGTAGCAGGGTTAGCTTTGGAAGCCTAGGGTTACCATCTTCCCATGAGCACCTTCTTCCTTCTCTTCCCATAGCTGTAATCTGCACAGTGCACCTATTTTTCCCCCACTTCTTTGCTCGGTTTGATGGATCTCATTAGGTCAGCCTGGGTGCATGGCTCTGTGTGGTTTCTTTGCAGCAAATGGCACTCTTCTTCACAGCAACTCATTCAGCTGGTGGTGAAGGGTACTACCCTGCTTGCACTGTGTGACTCGTACTGACTTATCTGCTCTACATAGTTATTTCACAGTCTTTGGTGGAGGGGCCTCTTGATATCACTCCTGGACGTAGTGGTACCTGGAAATTGCTCACAGTGATTGGAGAACACATTGCACAAGTGATTTGATCCTTAAAAAAACCCCAAACAAACAAACTATGGATGCACAGAAGCCAGTCTAACAAAAAACAAAAAGTCAATATCAAAACCACAGACATGCAAAAATTTTTATAAGTATATCAAGGCCTAGGCTATAACTGTCAACTATCATTTTAATTTTAATTTGTTTCTCTTATCCTATTTTTAATATATGGTCTTAATGTCTTATGCTTTATTCATTTTATACTCTGTATCTTGATATGGCCTAATGGCTAATCAGTAATAATAAACTATCAACCAGTATTATGTGAAACCATGGAGACTAAGGGCCACCTGTATATAGAATTAAGTCAAAAATGAAAGTTGCATATGTCTGTTAGCACTACAAGATAGTAATAGAACGACTGCATTTGGAAAGTATTCAGACCTTCTTCACTTTTTTCAATTTTGTTATGTTGCAGCCTGATACTACAATCGTTCAAATTCACTTT